GGCGGGGATGGGGCCATTTGTAAGGAATGATGCCACATGAGGGGGGGAAACGCATTCAAAGGCAAGTACTGTACACCACAGATTTATTGGATAAATATAGAGAGCCCCAGAGCTTTTCCTGGTCAGCGCTATTGAGCTGCAGCACATGCTACCGAAAAGCCTCCATTATGGTCTGAAAGCCCTGCTGTGTGTACCTTTCCATAAACAGTCTGTTTTTCTCTCTCAGTTCATCCATAGTTTGGAGGTAAATCTGAACGTATACAGACTTTGCACCATTGCAATGAAGACGTCTCTGGGAAAAGGGCATATACTCATTTTTGGAGAGGTTAGGGGGCGCGGCATTTAGCTCAGCTGGAGACTCTGTCCCCATTCCTCGGCAGGATGAGAGCTCCTTCTTGGCCAAATATCCAGTGCGTCACGGAGGTGATGACGCGACATCAGCCCAGAGCAGAGCTGTAATCATCTCGACTGATGTCAGGAGCAGCCAGCTTGCAGAGGAGAGAAACCGTGGATCGTCTCAGCACTAAACGCAACACATATTGCCTGTTGCAGAGAATATAGTTCAACTCACTCCTCCTAGAGATAAGCAGCCAGCCAAAGTGCCAGCCTGCTTGCTCCTGAGCTCTGGATTTCATGCCACATGAAGGACCCGTTACATGGATTTAGTGATTGATTGGTTAACATGGTCTCACTATTTAGATCATTTCTACAGCCATGAATGTCATACGCCAGACTGAGTTGTTTCAAATATCAGTAAACATGATTTAAAAAAAAGATAATAATTATTTAGATATTCAAGAAAAAGCATATTTACATAAATCTCATTGTGGTCAAAGCGGTTCTTCAGGTTCTCCAGAAACGAGTCTTCAGAGAGGGGTTCTAGGAGGACCATATCGCCAACCCCAATCATGTTGTCCAGAAGTGACGTCTTCACCTCCATCTTGGCTGTAGGCGTCCCCCCCCTGCACAGAAACATGGACAGAGGAAGGGATACATTACACATAAGATGACAATAGGTTATTCTTCTTTATGCTGAAAGAAAAAGAAATAGCGGAGCTTATTTTCAACCCTAACCCAGCCAACTCGCACAAAAATAACTCTCCAAAGTTTCGAGCAGCAGGGGTTTGAAACAGCAGTGCCCCTCCGTTAGTAAATCGACCTCATTCCCCTATGGCGTGCGAGAATGTCCAAGGAAGTTACATAACTAAAGAACTTTTGCCCCTGAGAACTTCTTATAAATCAAAGACAGTGCACCCGAAGAAAGCCCACCCCCCGACCCCGCCCATTCCCCCACGCAGCTTCCTTGTTGCGGCCATTTAATATTTGGAGCTGCGAGGGGGGGATCTGTGCTCGAGTACACCGTGACAAAGGCAGTGCTGGAGTTGGCAGATTTCGGCCCAGTGCTGCCGCCATCTCCATTTAGAGCAATAATCCCTCTGCTATAGGGCGGGAGATAAAAGAGGGGGCCTAGGATACATTCAGGGCCTTGATGTGTGGCTTTGCCGTTACCAAAATCTAATGTCTGCTGTTGTGACAAGCCGTCCCCGCAAGGCCAGCAGATTGGGTAATGTTGTTATCCCCCGTCCCATTGCTCCCACAGTGACACGTCTCATTCTGTGCCGGGGAGAGTTCGCCTCTGCTTTGCAGTAGATACAAACAGTGAGCCGTCCCAGCTGCCACCGGGCAAGAAACGGGGCACTTTTTTTCCGCCCCCCAGACTAGTCGGCAGTCAAATTAAAATGAGGCCACGGTAAATATTTTATAAGTCAGTCTGAGGCTTTTGACATTATCGGATGAAGTTGTGATGGAAGTGGTACCTAAAAGCAGACCCGAAATGATTCCCTCACTAATATTTGATCAAGTCAGGAGTTAAGTTTGATGACTTCGTGTCAGGATTAAAAGAAAATGTTTTTAAAAATGAAAAACTTGCTCTGATGGCCGGATTTCACCTCATGACAGAAAGGTTCAATACGAGTTAAAGAAATAAATAAAAAATAAAAAACTTGCTCCTGAGTTGGCTTCCAGCAGCAGCTGAGGACCAGCGTGACGTTCTGGAAATAAATGGAGCCCCTCTGCAGACTTCGGCTTCACTTTTTCCCCCGGCCTCTGTTCCCCTGCAGGACACGGTATTATTGGCTCATAAATGAGCTGCCCCGCTCCGACTAGTAGGCAGCAGTCAATTTCCACAGACCCGCTCACTCGCATTCAAAGCGAAAAAACAAACGGTGGACAAAAACTGCCCGAGAAAAATGAGGAACACTGGCCCAAATGATTCATGCTCATACGAAAACATGACATTTAAAAAAAAAAAAAAATGCCTGAAGCTTTAGTCAGAAAGATCCAAGTGGGGGGTTAGGAAATATTTGCCCACTTGTCAGCTAGTTGAGGTCAGTGGCTTTGCTCCCCACCAACTCCAGGCAGAATGTTCCCCATAAAGCTCCTGCCTACCAGCTGCTTTGGTAGCATGCAATGCTCTTTTAAAGCAGGTCATTTCCTTTTAACAAAGTCAATGATCCCCTGGAGGGATGAAACGGCAATCAGCCGCTCTGCCATGTCACCAAATGTTTAGGCTTTTTCTGCGTGTATTTGATTTAAGCTCAACAGCATGTAGCTTTTCCGTTCTCTACCCAAGCTTTTATTGCTGTTCATATGATGCAATTTTTGGTCATTTCCCCAAGTTTTTGGGTTTCATTTACGATACTATCCCCATTTTACATGTAAATAAAGTATATAACCCTTCTTTGTCTAACCACGGATCAAATTAACTATGTACTAGCATTCAGCGATCGATATCAGGCAAATCATTCACTACAAAGACAGCTAAATCATCATAATGTAGCGCAGATTGACTGCCCGTTCTACTATAAAGCAAAGCATGGAGCGTTCTGGAGTAACCAGACGCTGACCTGGTGGAGAACGCGAAGTGGAAATCTCCTCAAAGCGTGTGTGCCATGCAGACCAAAAACACGCACCACATCTGTCGGCCTCCTGCACACCATCATCCCCTCTGCTGATAACCCACTACCCTAGATTCTGAAGTGGCTCCCTGGCAGGCACGGGCCCAATCGCATTTATACAAGTTGCTCCCTGCTGCTAAGTGTTGGGATGCAGCCAAAGAAAGGGAGAATGAGAGAAAAGCCTAACAGACTTGATTAAACTTGGCAGGAATAGGAGGGGGGGGTTATATCCTCACTAGTGCGACATGGAGAGTGAAGAATATGACGCATAATCCGGACTCGTCGATGCAAGGTGAGTCAACTTTTCTGGTTTTTGACATGAGAAGGAGGGGAAACGATGGACAGAATTCAAGTAATTCAATTACTATCGATTCCTGCATTCAGCTTAGAGTGCTGCAGCTGTCGGCAATCGGATGGGAAGCCAACAAAATGGACGATGCGGCGAGACGTCGGGTCAGCGGGCCGTAGTCCGGGTCAACGCGCGTCGCCTCATTTAAATGTGCTCCCTGACCGGCACGGCGGGCGGCTGTGCGGTGCAGATGTTGCGATTCACACCTCATTAACTTTCAGCACCTGAGCAGCTGACCTCGCGTACGGAGGGACGGAAAAAATAACGATAAAAATAAAAAAACTGCTCCGCAACTTGGCTTTTCAAAACATCCCTCTGTGGCGCCAAACGAGCACAAAGGGGGGGGGGGTCCCAGAATCCCACTCGGAAATCAGAATTTGATCCATAATTCCCACAGATTAGAGTTATATTTAGAGGAGCCGGGCTGCTCAATGTGAAACTGAGGCAGGGGGTGACACTTTTATGCCTGGACCGGACCTGGGACACATCACGGTGACATGAAACGCACAATTCTGACCCAGATTTCCCGGCAGAGGTTGAACCATGCAGGAAAGCGCGGATAAAAACACATTTAAATGCATATATATTATTAACAAGCCCTAGACTTTGGCCGGTGTGTGTTTGTTTTCCTCTGTCCTCTTTAAAATAAATAAATAAATTGATTGAAAAAAAAGGGTCAACAGCCCTGCAAGCAGTGACATACACACCACACACACACACACAAACACACACACACAAAAGTAGATGAAATTTAAAAAGTGGAGCCAGCAGATCAGCTGTCACACTCCAGGCCCGCTAGACTTAACTAAACATGAAGCGGCTAACAGTTTTGAATAGCCAATATTTTCATTGCGATCTGGGACAAAAGCGGCCGCGCGTGACGTGTGCAAAGACACAATGAGAACGTCCGCGGCGTGCAAACAAAGTAATGATAACATCTATTATGCGGCGTGATTCTCCGCGAGCGTCACGCAGACCGGCGCGGCCTTGTCGCAAGAAAGGAGCCACAACATCCCACCGGCAGCTGCCAGCCGTGAAGATTAAAGAGCTGTTTAACGGGGGCCGCGGCGGGGCGCCGGGGGCAGTGCCAAGGAGCACATTGGGGCAGGGCAGGGCCCACAACGGGACCCGGGCGAGCTGCCACTCCACTCGTGAGCGCTCAGCGGCGCCTGAAGAAGCCCACGCAGGTTAAACCTGAAGCTTCACCCAAACAAACTGATCTTTAAAAAAAAATCTATTTACAAAGCCGCTCAAAGTGCAAAGTTTGGGCCCGTAGATCAACAAAAAAAACTGTGCTGGACAGGAGTTTTTTTGAGGTTTGTTACAAGTGACTGATAAATCCAAGATGGCTGACATAAAAAGTTTAAAGTGTTTGTTCTGAAAAGTTCGAGGGGAGAGAGAAATTAGTTACCCAAATCCAACATCCAGCAGGTAAAGGCAGAGTGCGGAATCCAATTAGTGCGCCGTCATCAGCAGGTCTGTGCAGAGCTTAATCTTTCAAATAGATCCATTACAAAAAAATTTCTGAATTAGCTGTACTGAAATAAGCCAACAAAAAGGGTATTGAATATGGCACCATTTTGAATCTATTTGGGATGTTCACTGAGAACATAAAAGGACACAAAGGGGCACATTTCAATTTTCCGAAATACCAAGTCCCTAAAAGGACCTTTGACAACAGCGAAGTGTTAGGCACATTAGAATTGAAACCTCAGATAGAGCCATATTCATCCTCATATCCATCCTCCATCCTGACTTTTCCCCACAGAGCAGCACCCCTGAACTTACCACTCCACTTACTACCCCCCTGCAACATATCAAACAGGTTAGAAGTCGACTGGATGGGCAAAGAGACCTCGTTATAGATGTGAAATGCACTTTTACCACAGGCTAATCTCATAATCTGCCAGCAAATCAAACCATTTGTTTGCACAGAACACTTCGGCACATGGGAAAGAAAAGTGAAAGTGAAGTACAGCAAGTAAAGCCACTTTCACCACCTGTTCACTTCGTGAGGTCTGCAGTCCCGATGGCGGAGATCTGCAGAGCCGACTGACTACATCTGATCGTGACTATTCCAGAGAAAAGCTGAGGGGCTGTTTGTTTAAGGTGGCGGGGCACCATCAATCAAACGTGTTAAAAAAGCTAAATCGCGCAGTTCGGCTCCCGCGAGTCTACTCAATCTCAAAGCTTCTCAGTTCATTTTTTACATGAATATGTAGTGCTACAAAGCAAAACTTCAAAGTTCGGTGGGAACTTTTTCCTTCTCCGACTCCTCAGCGCTGTTAAAGTGTGCCAGGACATTCTTTATGCAAACACAGTTCCTCCATCATTCTTTTAACGTGCCAAGAACCAAGTCAAATTTACACAGAATGGAACGACCAGGTGGAGGCATTCTGCCTCAACTACTTTAGCAAAGAACGGCAACTGCCTGTATCCGTCAGCACACTTTAGATGAACCGCTTTAAAATTACTGGACAAAAAACACCCGAAGGTCCAGATGGATTTGGACAGAACTCTGACTCGCTGTCCACTCAAACCAGAGAGCGTAATTTGCATCCTGATGGCTGCATTTAATTTCTTGCTGCGGGGGAGAGGCTTTTAATCTAAATCGAATACAAGCCCAGTTTTGGAGAATGGAGTACATGATCCTTTGCAACAGCGGTGTCCGAAGCCTTGGTCTGGCCCAGGTCTATATAAACGAATGACGAAATCTGCTGTACTGGACTTGACAAAACAGGGGGAAAATGCACATTATTATTAGCGTGGCTCCTCGGGGAAGGTGAAGGAAGTGAGGCTTAAGTCGTTAAACCGAGCCGGTGGGGAGAAAAAAGTCGGAGTTACAGGGCAGAGGGAGAAGTTCTTTGCGGAGACTGTTAATTATGTCCGTCTGCATTTTTGCGAGATCCCATCGATTGGACAACAGATGAACTGCTGAACTGGGATCGCCGAGGGGACTGCTGATGCTTCCTGGCTTTGAAGAGGCTAGTGAGGGGCTTTGTGCTCTCCAAACGGCAGAGCTGCACGAGTGTGTGCGCCCCCCCCCCATCATCCCTCTGTTGACACAGGCCTAACACAAGGCGCACGCCTCACCATACAGGCAGACAAGTGCAAACACCATTCATCTCCATAGCACTGGTGGAGGGACTTTGGTCCTCTATACACCCTGCATTAGACCACAGCATGTCAGCCCACAGTGTTCTTGGCACATTTATAAAAAGACAAAAAAACAAAAAACAGAGAGGGACAACTTCATGCTGGCTAGCCCGACGAGCTCCCACCGAGCGCAAGACACTGGCCAATAGACCCCCACGCTTCCACCTCCCAAGTCTCTTTAAAGCTCCGAGAGCTTACTACCTTTCACAGTCAACTTACGTCACTGCCTGTTTGATCAGCGCGGGGTAATAAAGTTCCCATCTGGTTTCCTGGCTCTGAAACTGGCCAAAAGAGGAGGGACATATTTGGGGAAAGCCACAAAGAGAAAAAGACCTTTTTTGAAATGATTTTCTAAAAAAGGTCTTATCTAATCCTCTTGTGACTTCAGCTTCACCACAGGAATTAAACGCTGCATTCAAAGACATCAAAACAGAAAAAAAACAAGACTTGCTGGAAGCTGTTCTCCTGTCACATAATGGTAAAACTTATAGAGCTGTCTATTATGAGAGTTTTAAATTTCCCTCAAAGCTTCAGGAGTTTTTCCTCGTATAAGTAACTTTCTTCTAGGAGCTGCAGACTGGGACCCTCAGGGGGGAATCCAGCAGAAAGCAAGCAGGTCAACTTGTCAAGGGGGGGATCTTTGGAATGTTTCTCAGTTTAGAGGTGAATAGTTTTATTCATGCACTCTACTCAAGAGTGTTGATTTATCACCGCATGCGGACTCAGGATCTCTTAAAACCAGGCACGGATTGGTGGGCAAGACCAATTTCAGTCACTTTATTTTTCATCTAAACTGACACAGAGCTTTGTCGGGCAGGCTTAATCCCAGTTACACTGTATCCATGAATCATAGAGAACTTTATGTGGAACTTTAGAGGAGAGTTGAGATTTTAGGGGGGGAGAGGGGGGTAAAAAGAAAAAAAAGGTCTGCCTAATAATTACAGATCTTTAAAAAAACCAAAAAAACATGGGCATTTTGCAGGACTGAGCTCTGAATGGGCCAGAGATGAGTCTATGGCGAGCTTTGCAGCTCCTTGACTCCTCAGAGTCGTCTCTTGCTCACAGATGTTGGCAATTAGCGACCACGATGTTCGTGAACATTGCTGCGTGAGCATTTGGATCAGGACAGCACATAATCGGTCCAATTTTTAAACCCCCGTCCCCCCCCCCCCTTTTTTTTTTATTCTCCCTCCCATCTTTCAAAGATTCACGATGCACAAAGAAGTAAAAAAAAAAAGATAGAAAAAGTGATCCCAACCCCCTTTTTTTTCGTAGTGGGGAGAAATGAATGAGCGCTGCAGACAATGAAAAGAAAAGTTAACTTTTGCAGAGTTGCCTCAGATGCATCAGTGAAAGCAATAAACTGAGAGAAAGGAGCTCGATGTTTCCAAAAAACATTTTGCAAAGCCAACAATAATTTCCAACTTGCCTTTTTTTTTTTAGTACAAAAGAGTTGCTCCTTATTGTCCAAATTGTCCTCTCCGGACTAAAAGTATGATCCCGGGCAGCTTCTCCAACTGTGGAGTGGGTCCTGAAGCCCCTTTTCCCCGGCTGTCCGCGGTTTAACTCGCGTCTGCTGAGCGGGATGAGGCTGAACGCAGCTCTCGCCGGGATCAGGACACTTTGAATGGAGCTCTGGATGGATTTGAGAGCTCAGGATTGTGCCGGGCGCAGGGAGTGGCTGGAGCAGCGTCCCCTGGGCGAGCTCTGAGTCCCTTAATCACCTCCAGCGCGAGAGGGAGGTGGGGTTGTGATGCGTTCACGTGCCGCCGGAAACATAGGGACTCACGTTTTGAAAATCCAACATGTTGGGTTTAACGCTTCCCAGCGCAACAATTCACATCATTTCGGTGCTTCAAAGTTCAAAGTTTCAAATCTTGCTCGTTTCTTTGTGAAAAGATAGGACTTGTAAGCTACTCAGAAGAGTAAAATCATCTGGATATATATGTGGGAAAGAGCTGTGGGATCAAAGTGGGATTTTGAGCCCAGTGTGCACAGACTTGAAAAGGACTATCCTCCAAAAGACATCCATCACCTCAACAACAAAATTGACTGGAATGTATTTGTTTAGTTATTCATTCGATCATTCATATATGTTCATTTTTATCAGATATGCAATTAGAGATGTCTGTATCTACATGACTCTATCTTAGCCATTACTTGTCATTTGTCACTGGTTTGTCATTTAGTCAAAGTAGCTGCTTAGATTTTGTACTTTTTTTTTACTCTTCTCTCCCTCTTTTGAACTTTAAATATAATGTCACTGTCATATTTATTTTAAACGTCCTGATTTGTATTATTTGAGTTCTTTGTAGTTGTTTTTATAGTTGACCTTTGACTGTGTTGCTGTGTTTTATAATTGAAGTGTGAAAAATAACAGGGACTGAGTGTAATACATTGCTCGGTGTTAAGTGATAGGCTCTGGGAAGCTTGTGTTTGAAATACTACTGTAGTAGTTGTCACATATCCCAAATATTCTCTTTTTTATAAGACGAGAAGAGAACATAAACCATTTGTTTTTTAGCTAAATTATCTTGAATATTAAAATTTACGAGGTGTATATTAATGCAACATGGAAGTTTGCTTTCATCCCGTTAATGACAGATGCACGGTCCACCCCAAAGCACAACACCCCCCTCCTGTGTCTTTATTATAGATAGCAATGATTTGTTGACCCTCTAATGACACGTTTGATGTGCTCGTTTAAATATTTATTTCCTCCAGGCTTTGAGCTTTGCTGTGCTGTTGTTGTTACTGTTTTTTTTTAGAAGTTAAATTTTTTTTAAATCACAGATAGGGGTAATTCAGGATTTACTTGCAAGTAACACCGTCATTTTTCTTCTGTTGTACAACAAAAGATTAAATAAATTATTAAATCTGTTTATATCATTCAACACCAATAGGGTTTTATCCACTGGTTAAAACCGCTATCTGGTTCTGTGTCGACCCAAATAGACTTTGTCAGGGCGCATGCGCACAACGCATACCACTTCCTCTTCCTCGTTTCAGATTGTGCGACAGTCCAGTGGTACCTTACTTTTTTCCACGAGCTGATTTTGATCCAAAAGAGGATTTCGGTGAGTCTCTCGTTGTCTTTCCTTAATATGTCGAGTGCTGGTCCCTTATTTGAGCTAAATGTGTCACAGCGTCAGAAAGATAAATATAGCTTCATATGACGGTGGTTCTAGCTAGCTAGCTAGCGCCAGTCGGGTGGTCTGAGGTCAGATATCCCGAGTTTTGTTAGCTTCGAAACAACCAGCTCATTTTTACAGTTCCTGCTTTTTCAATATTCTGTTTAATTTGTTGCTTAATGTAAAGTAGTTGTTTTTTTTACAGACCTTCCCCACGTGTGTGAGGGGTGCAGTTAACTTAGGTGGTTATTAAAACCGTTAAATACGACGACAACAAAAGTGTGACCATAATTATGGTGGTTTGTGTTAGTCATGTAGGCCCTGCTGCGGAGGTTGACTAAAAACCTCCCTCGGCGTTGAATAGTCAGTGAAAGAGGTGGTGGCTAATGCCTGTCATCGATCACGTTTCACTGCGTGTGTCACTGGTTGAAACATTACGTGATCGGCCCGGTTATTGGTTTATTTTTGGTTCTTACTTATCTCCTTTGTCTTCCAGAGAGTCTTTTATGAGTAATCAAAGGCAGCAAAAGCCAACGCTAACTGGCCAGCGTTTCAAAACACGAAAAAGAGGTGAGCAACTCTAAGGCTAACCATAAGAAGGTTTGCTTTCGTTTATAAAGAATTTTACTACAATTTTTTTCTGTTACTCTTCACAGAACACAGGGTTTGCCATACACTAATGATGCATTATCAACATTTTTAAATTGGTTTATGTTTGATTTGTATTAATATAGTCATAATTGTATTTAAAAAAGTGACTTTTCTCTTTAGTCATAAGTGACTGACAGCTCAAGCTCTTTTTCTTTCACGCAGATGAAAAGGAGAGGTTTGACCCTTCCCAGTTTCAGGAAAGCATCGTACAAGGTCTGAATCAAAGTGGCACCGATTTGGGAGCTGTGGAGAAGTTCCTCGATGCCTCTGGTGCCAAGCTCGACTACCGGCGATATGCTGAGATTCTCTTTGACATCCTGGTGGCCGGCGGAATGCTGGGTGAGATGAAATGCTGAATTTTCACACGTTACCCGCAAAGGCTAGACATGTTTTACTTGTTTCAGATGCACTACAAACGGCATGTGCTATCCGCGTGCCTCCCGTCAGCAAACGCATCCTCCGAAGGGCTCTCCTGCTGTCTGAACCTTAACATTAGAAATGTGTCAGGATTTTTCCCTTTGAGCAGACTATGATGGAGCTATGGAAATAATACCAGTCCAATTAAAACTTTTTCTTGTATAGTTTTGGTATAGAATTCTGCAGATCATTGCTGTTAAATCATGTTGTGCTTAGATAATAAATGCACATTATCCTACTAGCACATGTTCATTTCCTGTCAGATGTAAAGTGTTATGTCCAAATGATATGGGTTGCAAGGAAAGCTCACAACCTAAGATGAAAAGTCCCAATAATGCATTAGAAAATAATTGTGGATGTTGTTTAAAACCAGGAGTGACCATCCTGTTATGAAAAGTGTTGCAATGACATTAAAAAAGTTTGTCAGCAGCTATACATATATATGTACTGATTTGAAGGACAACATTGAAAAGGTTGAATGTAGTTATTTTTTAAAACTAAATATTTTACTAAGAAGGTGAAAAAATGCCAAAAAATTAAGCTTGACTGCATGATCACTGGTTCAGCTGTGAGGCAAACTCTGCAACGTGTGCTGCACACAGTGCTTTTCTTATCCGATCACATCCGATTTGTTCTTCGCTGGCTGCTATTGCACGATACCGGCCAGTCGTTGTCGTGGTCCAGTCTCAGTTTGTTTTATCAGACTGCTGCTGTTCATGATAAACAATGATGTGAGGCATGGTGCAAATTAAAAACAAACAACAACAACAAAAAAATGCTCCGTATGATTGATGTAATTGGAAATGCATTCGTCCGTCCATTCAATGGAAAGATAGATTTCAAGAATGTGTTTATTTCCAGCCCCAGGGGGAACTCTGTTTGAAGAAGCGACCTGCACAGATTTCTGTCTCTTCAAAGCACAAGAGGACATGGAGACCATGCAGGCGTATGCACAGGTGAGGCCTGTGTTTTGCTTCCTCTATTATCACAGTGAAGATCCCATTTCTGAGCCAGTGCATACTGTCACATACGCTTTGTGTTTGTAGGTCTTCAACAAGCTCATCAGGCGCTACAAATACTTGGAAAAGGGATTTGAGGAGGAGATCAAAAAGGTGTGTGTGTGTGTGTGCGGTAGGATTCTATACGTCCCTCGCCTGTGAAAGTCAAGCCTCTTAATTCAGGACGGCTTCTTTCCAGTGCTAAATTGAACTGGAAAAAGAAATGCTGCGTGACTCTGTTCAGCTTACAGAATTGTGTTTATCTGTTACTGTTTGGCAGCTGCTGCTGTTCCTCAAGGGCTTCACAGAGTCGGAGCGTAACAAGCTGGCCATGCTAACAGGCATTCTGCTGGCCCACGGCAATATCTCCGCATCCATTCTCAGCAGCCTCTTCAACGAGAACCTGGTCAAAGAAGGTACCGGGCTTAATGGCTCATTTGTGTGCAGGGTTCTCCTTATTGTTTGTTTCCCGTCATTTATCAAACATTTAAAGAGCAGGAGCGCAATTCTTCCGGAAGCCAGCTGAAACACTCCTCTGATATTAGTCTTGGAGTAGCTGTGAGGGATGGACAAGCACACAAAGAAGTGATGAGAGTGCAATAGTTTTCATTTTCCGCTTCATTTTAAATTGTTAATGCTTGCAGTCATGTCTGTTTTTCATTTGCTGGAGACAATTCATTAAGGGTACGAAATGCTGTTTAAATCTCTGGCTTTATGTGTCATTTCATAGGGCTGGAAAGACATTTAATGAGGGGATAAAAAGCCATTCTCCATTGTTTAGATAATATTATAACTTGGAAGATTCTGTTTGAGATAGTAGTTAATGGTGCAGCTGTTGTAAGTGGCGACTAATGATGCCTGATTTGTTTTTATTACTTGCCTAAAACCAGAAACCCATGCGGCTCCATTACTGTATATTTTTTTTCTTCTCAAAGATAAGCGTTGTGCGCCTCATGCTTCCTCCTTTCAATAACAAGATCATTTTGTAGAGAGAAAAAACAAAAAACAACTGAACACACTTACTTGTTTAAAGTTGTTTTTTTAAAGGATGATTCCAAAGACAGCCCATGCGAGAGGCTCAGACTTGTCCACTTATCCCTGAAGAACTGCTGCAGTTAAAGCAACGCCAACAATATTACAATATTAGCCAGCTAACTCTGGAGTTAAGGCCTCACTGAAGCTGCCTCACGAGATGTTCTTAAACCACAGAGTTGTGCACTCTCTGTAAACTCCGACTTTATAGAGTTAGCAGTCTGGGGGCAGCGATGACACAGCATTAGTGTGAAGTCACAATAAACCGGTTTACCATATGTGGGAATAAGAGGTCTCATTATTGCTTCAATTATGAACCTATTAAAAAAGATTTTTTTCTTTAAAAAGCAGATGGTGGGAGGCGTTTTTTTTCCTGGCACTGGAAATCTTTTGTTTCAGTGGAAATAATTTGTTTAAAATCCCAGCAACTACTTCCTTTTAACCTGACCTCCTATTCATTGTCATGTGACCCTGGGGTTGTGATCAGCTGGACTGAGCTGATGTCTACTTGTTTTCAGACAAGTCTATAAAACCACATCGCTTTTCTTATCAAAGTCTCAACTGTGTTGTTTTTTTTTTTGGCTCTGTTCCAGTTAAAAGCTGCCAAGGAGTATTCAGCGTTGTACTTCTGAGGCCTGATTTTATCCCAACACGTCTGCTGGCAACATCTGACTCTCATTATGCTGCATTTGTTCAGGTGTCTCGGCATGCTTCGCCGTAAAACTCTTCAAATCTTGGCTTACGGAAAAGGACATTAACTCAGTCTCTGCCAGTCTTCGCAAAGTCGGCATGGACAGCAGGCTTCTGGTGAGAATAACTTCTTTACTACATCGCTTTTACCAGATTTAGCTGAAGCATTTGTTCTCGGTGCTGCGGCTCTTCACAGCCTCTGCCATCTTATTAGCAGTCTGAGGAAATAAAGTTATTAACCTTTGTTTAGTTTAGTTTAGTTTCGCCTGAAGTTGTTAACCGTTGTGACGTCCAGTCGAGTTTTTAATGAGCTGCTTGATTGCAGATGTTCGCCCCCCTGTTTTGATTGGGCCCGTGCTGTTTTTTAGGAACTGTTTCCTGCCAACAAGCGCAGTTGCGAACACTTCTCCAAGTACTTCAACGAAGCCGGGCTCAAGGAGCTGTCAGACTTTGCCAAAAACCAGGAGTCGATTGGGGCTCGCAAGGAGCTGCAGAAAGAGATTCAGGACCAGATGTCCCGCGGAGACCCCGTCAAGGATGTGAGTGACGTTATCTTTTTCTGTGTCTTTTCCTCCACTTTTATGTAGCGCACCACCGAAGATTGTTTTTTTTCTTGACCTCTGCCTTTTTTTTTTTTTTTTTACTTGGGGAGGGGTGTAGAAAAGAATGTACTTCATCAACGAGCACTTCCTGAAATGCCCCCGGCTTCAGCACTCTGCTGGGGGGGGGCGCGCTCAGGCCTCTGCCGCGGTCGAATAGCAGCAAGCCTCAAGCACACGCGCCGGCCGCGCTTTGTGAGCAGTGTCAACAACTTGTGTTCCAGATGATAGCGTATATCCGAGAGGAGGTGAAGAAGAACAACATCGCGGAGCAGACCATGATCGGGCTCCTTTGGTCCAGCATAATGAGCTCGGTGGAGTGGAATAAGAAGGAGGAGCTGGTCACAGAGCAAGCCATCAAACACTTAAAGGTGACAGCTGTGCTTTCTAAAGCTTGACTTTAGCCTGATTGTAGACACTGGAGGTCTCAGAACGATGTCTAACTTAACCCCGCTTCATGTTCTCAGCAATACAGCCCACTGTTGAAGGCGTTCACCTCCCAGGGCCTCTCTGAACTGACCCTCCTGCACAAGATCCAGGACTACTGCTACGACAACATCCACTTCATGAAGGCTTTCCAGAAAATTGTTGTCCTGCTCTACAAAGGTGAGTTCAAAACGCCTGTAAGGCGCATGCTTCCAAGCTCACAAGTTGAGTCTGTGGTAGAACGCTACGGAGCCAGATGGTGGAAGATTATTGCCAAAAAGTTTGCCTTGATTGATGCCATCAACCTTCCTGGCAGCATTTGTTTTTCCAGCACCTGGGGATGCATCTGTGATGTAGGCACCATATTGAAGAGATTTTCCTTATATATCAATTAATTTATTTTTTCCTTTCCTTCGTAGCGGACGTCTTAGGTGAAGAGGCAATCCTGAAGTGGTACAACGAAGTTCACTCAGCCAAAGGAAAAAGCGTTTTCCTTGAGCAGATGAAAACGTTTGTGGAATGGCTCAAGAACGCCGAGGAAGGTAGCCGCCCCACTCCCTCCCAAGCCGCGGCGTCCTTGGCGGTGGCGTTTACTGGCCAGAAATGCTCGAGAGCGTGATTGACAGATGTTTTCCATGTTTTTGTTTTTTTCCAGAGTCTGAGTCTGAGGAAGAGGATGCAGACTGAGGATCTCCAGCGACAACAACCATGTCAAGGCACATCTTTGAATGACGGAACACTAGATGCTGTCTACATGTTCCTCTCTGTCTGTTTTCTACCTCCGCATATCTTGTTCACCTGTCAGGGAAGGGCTGTACTATTCTTTGAACCTACTCTCAGTTTAAATAAATACTTGTACTTCTCTTTATGCTCCTCCAGGAGCCGGTCCCTGTGCCACATTTAGCTAAATGGAAACAAATGTCTGTAATGTAACAAAAAAAAAGAAAAAAAAAAGCTACTATTTTTGGGAGGAGCACTTCCTCGTATATTTGGTCAGTTTGATGGCAGATTTCACAGCTATTGAGTTCAGTTTTGGATCTTTTTCTTTCTTTTCTTTTCTGCGTGAGATCCATCTGCGTATCCCACGGTACGCCGTTCGTCCGAAAGAAAAACCATTTTCGTGACCTCATTTTACAGATCTGCCAGTTCTGAGGGCAGTTTGAGATTTACTGCCACATCGGGGTCCGCTATCGGTGACCGAGCTGTGCCATGCAAAACGGCCATGGCTGTAGTGGAAACGCCGCCTCATGAGATGTTTTTTTTTTTTTTTCCCTGAAAAACCGCATGTAATAGAACCATGCTAACTTTGTAGGGTTTTTATCCTTTATCATACATTTTCAAATAAATGGAATGTAATGATTTCCATTCCTTGTGTTCATTCGTGTGTAAATTAACTCTTTCAGTGTCAACACACCAAAGCCACATTATGAGAAAATAGAAGAAACTCTCAGAAGGTATTTCTATAGAAAGGTGGATTTGTAGAAAACATACTTGTGCATGTGCCGTGTTACAGATGGAACCTGTGTTCCCTCACTTTTTATCCCCACTCCCTTTGATTCAACTAATCATCCAATCAGGAGACGTAGCCTGGCCTACGCAACCTGAGCTGCAAACGGCCATCTCAGTCACTTCACTCCTATCCCACTTAGAATGGTAATCATGGAGCAGTCAAGCATGCAGAAATGAGAGCGAGATGGTGATTCGAGGCATTATGAAAACGCAGGTCGATTCTCATGCGTTGGGGTAGACGCATTTCTCTCAGCCCGAATACGCACGGATGCCTCCCCTCCTTAGAAAGAAAGACGCGTTCCAAGTATTAGTATTTGGCATTGATTTGTCATTGTTTGGTCTCAGTGATAAGTCATTTATGTTTATAAGGAGTTATGTATCACAAAGGAAAAAGAAATGCCTGCACTGCAGAGCACTGGAGGTGTTATCAGCTTATAATCAGTTTCACTGGGTACCAACAGATGGCAGTAAGCCCTTAAGACATGTATCCTACTCCTGTGAGAGCCCCAGCTCCAACAGAAAAATGCAATTTTGAGGAGAGCTGATGAGAAAAGTGTCCGACACAACTATTTTCTCTGCTCCTCCGTCTCGGGAGGATTTGTTTGCCTTTTTTTGCTTTTATTTAGTCGCTCTAAAGAACAAGGAACGATGTGGGAGGGCGACAAGCCGGCATTGAGGAAACATCACCGCTTTTGAGATTTGGATGGAGGCGTTTTTTTTTTTGGGGAGTTCATGCAGCACTCCCTCAACACAAAACTGTGCTAAGCCCGGGCGGAAGGATGTTATCCTCCGTCCTCTCTCACAGAAGGGGCCCTCCCTGCATATTTTCTTATAATGAGGTGCGCACAGTGCTCTGACATATCTGCTTGTTGTGCTTATCTGTCATTTTCTGCCATTATGAATACTGGATGTGCAGCAGATATTTCTGGACATCACCTTTTTTTTTATATGTACCTTCACTCTTTTCCCTCCACTGATGTAGCTCAAATGAATGTGACGTGAAAGAAATGGCGCGCGGCAAGAATAGAAGCAAACGCTCTCCCTATGTGACCTTGTGCTTTAGTCATTTCAATATACTTAAGCATTCATCTGAAGAAAAAACTTAGAATAGGATTTTCATAGTCTGTAGTTTTTCAATGACATGGAAATTTGTCAAAGGACCCTAAAATGAAAAGAGCGCTGACTTGATGTGTTTTTTTGGAATTTTTCTGTCTGTTGTACTTCCTGCTTGAAGTGAAACAGAGCTGCACAAAGTGCCAGGGAATGCCAGGGGAGTTGTGGAGAGCAATTATTCAGGATTTCACACTGCGGCTTTGGTCAGTAAACATAACTCAGACTGCAATGCAGAGCTCATCTGAATAATGCTGTCAGAAAAAACACACACACAGAAGGGGGATGGCTCTTTTGAATGGGAAAGGGTACAGATAATTACTCAGTTTAAAAAAAAAAAAACACTCGACCATGCTGCGATGCGCCAACCACAAAAGATGAACAGTTTTAGTCATGAGCAACTTTCAAGTGATAGCGATGCATATCGAGCAGTATTATTTGGCAGCCACAACAGTTTTTGACCATTTTGTTTTTTTATTTTTCACTTATGAAAAGCTACTCTAATCCCGGGCTTATCACCTAAGTGAAATACAGAATAAAGACTCGTGTTGATTTGCTACATGCTGCCATTTTGCCCCCACACCAGTCCCTGCTGACAGCAAAAAACAAACTTAAAGCTTCTGAGGAAGGGCCAAAGACATTTTTGGCTGCCAAACACTGTTGTTGGTCATCTTTTAATGACACTTTTTTGCCTCTATGTCCTGGGGTAACGCTACCATCCTCACACACTTTCTTCCCCAGGCAGACCCTGTATTTCTAAATTCATGTCCTATCGCTGTTAATTATCTTGAATCATGATGCTGTTCAAAGCAGCAGCTTAATTAAAGACAACAGCAAGGTTTGAACCTTTTACACTATTTTAGCTGCCTCTGTTGGACCTTAGTCAACAACTGATTATTTTAACATGGCATCAATGTATTAATCCTATCAGAAATTTTTGCTCATTTCTCCCTCTAAGTAAGCATTTGTGCTAAATTTGAACAAATTCCCTCTTAGTCTTCCTAATGCATGGTATTTAGAACGACAGGGTGAGATGCGCATCCAGAAAACACAATGCAGAGGATTAAAGATTCCTATGTCCAAGAAAGATAATCTATAAAATAATTCTAATAGGGTAATCTCCACCTTTGTACTCAGAATTATTCTTGGTTGATCAAGTGAGTCAATGCACAATAAACATGCTCTAATTAAAGCTTTTTATATGTAAGATCCTTTCTTCTCCATCCTTTATGTCACACTGAATGGATGCAGGGAAGAGAGCTCCAGAACAAAAGATTTGCTGTAGCATTTGACAGTCCAACAATCTTTTTGTTTCAGTTGAATAGCTCACCAAGCACCGCATACGTTTTGTCTGTAATTTCGATATCTTGTCTTTTCATACTGTAAAGAAAAAAATATATTCCAAGGTGTGGAGCATCTTAAATGCACTTTAGTTTTTATGCCCTCGATTGATTTACATATTCAACAGACTTGTATGTTGCATCCTGAGGAAAGCTCCAGGAGTAAATCATTAAGTCGTGAGTGGAAAAATAAGTGATATGGGAAGAAAGGCAGAGAATGGGGGGGTAGTTGAGGGTTGTCAGGGACTTGTATTTGGAGAAGACGGTCCTCGCACATTTAAGTGAAGCAGCGTGACGTCATGTGCCCTTTTCTTTTCATTATAGCACATCATTTCACTCCAGACAACTCCAACACATCCAGAATGACAAGTTTCAGTTTTCTGAATACAAGCTCGTCAGCACTCGTGAACATTCGAACATTTCACAGCTCCCGAAGAAACACGAAATAGCTATTCATGGCGTACAATAGGCTAATTATAGTGATTATGCCAAAATCTCACTGTGGAAGGCAGGAAGATTAGGAAGAAGGCAAAAAAAAAATCCAACCTGTTTCAAAACCAAATGATATTATCGATGATCAAGATGAGCATTACGGCACTATAGCAAATGCTGAGAGGTGGAAGCGAGCAAGTCGTGCAAACAGACGAAGGTGATCTGGTGGTCAGTGCTAGCTCAAATGAGGGCATCCTCATTCCGTACGAGCCCCTCTGCCATTGTGTGGGGGAGACACAGACAGAGGATAATGGCCTGACTGTGGGAGTCCAGGGATCCAGAAGCTAGACTTAAGTCAACACCGAGGCTCATCACAAACATCATTACTTTCTCTTGTCTTGTCCTTTTCCCTCTTCAGCGGCCCAGGTCTGACGGTTGTGTACAAAAGACCGAAAGCAAAGAAATGGATTGCTTCGTTTGATAAAGAAAAATCGACTCAAGGGGTTTGCTATTTACCAGGTAAGTGCTTGTCGGTAACTCGATACCCAAAGAAAAATCTTTTCGAGGAATCTAGGAAGCAGAGTTTATTACCGTGGCAGCTGCCGTGGTTCACTCTGCTTATTCAAGAGTTTCCACAGATTGTTCATACATATGGCCGTTGTCATCTGGGTCTATCAGGACACTGCAGGGGGGTTTGGTAACTGCGCTCAGGGGAGTTTAAGAAGTGGGGAGAGCATTTTGACAGAGTCCTCAATGGCACAGCACCACTAGCAACACTTTGGAACGACATACCGCCGTGATAACTTCCAAATGGAATAAAAGTTTGCATCTCTGGAATGTTTTTAACAAGTCTCCCCGGGTTGCGGCATAATGGCAGACTGCGGGAAGACATGAAAAAGCCCTCACAAAAAATCTTGTTTTGTGAGGAAAGGAAGACTTTGGTGCACAAATGAGCTTAATATGAAATCATTATTTAGTTTTAAGAATATTTTTTCAAACAAATATTCACTCAGACATCGACAATAGATTAAACATTCCTGTGTAAACATGGACTTCATCTCACAGTAAGACATTTTTTTGTTTTCTTATTTCCCCTTCAGTTCACATTGACCAAAGCAGGCAATCACTGCCACAAAGTCAAACGTCAAAACTTTGCATCAGTGTGGAGTTGAATCACAAGTAGCTCCTCTGTATAGAAGTAAAGTTCTAAAAGTGTATTTCTTATTTAATCCATGAAAAAACAGCCATTTTTTTGTATGCATATGAGAATACTCTTATGACCTGCTCTGTTCTTTAGAGCAGAACTTGCTTCACCACAGAGACATTATTTCATTTCCATTGCTTTGTAATTTTTATTCCTCTCCTCTTCTTCTTCTTCTTCTTCTTCTTCTTCTTCTTCTTCTTCTTCTTCTTCTTC